GAAGCGCAGCCAGAGTGCTCCTTAGAGGCCAAAATGGCCAAACTTTGTCTCTCAAAATTTGGACATATTGTCAGGAGGGACCAGTCCTGGAGAAGGATATCATGTTTGGCAAAGTGAAGGGTCACAAAAAAAGAGGAAGAACCCCAATGAGATGGATTGGCCAAGTGGCAGCATCGATGAACTCAAGTGTGGCAACAGTAGTGAGGTTGGTCCAGGATCGGGCAGTGTTTCGTTCTGCTGTGCATAAGGTTGCTATGGGTCGGTACCGACTCAATGGCACTTAACAACAACAACAACTATAAAAAGCAGTAAATGCAATTTTAATTACATGATAAACGGAAGGGAGCAGAAAAGAGAGAAAAAATCAAAGAAGAGGAGACGTTTTTGTGGGAAAATAAGAATCACAGTTATCTGTTTAGTTCACTTCACTTCCAATCTTTCAAGACCCAAACCTCATTTGAAGGCTTGTTTAGGCTTCAGTAGTAACAACTATCCTTTCTTTGTCCCCAAAGCCTGTCTGATTTTGGAGCCTCGAAAAGACTTTTCAAAATCTCACAGGACCTGAATTTTCCATCAGGCCCTGTGATGAGAATTGTAACTGGTGGAGTGGGCAGACCATCAGACCAGGTCCTGTGGGATCCAATGTTGCTATAACACTCTTCCCCAAATAATTCCCAGATTCAACACAGTACCGGAAATGGTGTGTCCCCACTGCCATTGAGTTAATCCAATTCATAGTAACCCTAAGTAGGCTTTCCAAGATTGTACATTTTTACGGGAGCAAAAAGCCTCCTCTTTATCCCACAGAGTGCCTGATGGATTCAAACTGCTGACCTTGTGGTTAGTAACCCAACACACTACCAAAATTGCATATAATCTTTAGTAGTTCACGTAATTTAATCTTTTTTTTTTAATGAGAAGACAATGTCTTCATTCCCTTAAAGATAAAATCATATTTACTTTTTCTAGATATTATATTTAAAAATTTCAAACCGACAGGGAAGTTGTAACTATATCTTGTGCAATGGATACCTGAATACCCTTTGCCTAAATTTACCTATCAATATTTTGCTATGTATTTTCTCTATTCCTCTCTTATACATACATATGTGTTGGTTGTTGTATGTGGAGTCCATTCAGAGTCACAGAAACACTGTATGACATAGAACTACTCCATAGGGTTTACTAGGTAGTCATTTTTGTGGAAGCAGATTTCCAGGTTTTTTCTCCCATGGAGTAGTTAGTGGGTTTACACTGCCCATCTTTCACAGTTAGCAGCTCAGCGCTCAACCACTGTACCACCAGGGCTCCTTACATATATGTTCAGATATAAGTGTACAAATGTACATGTACATTTATATACATATATACAATATATGTGTGTATATATGGGTGTGTATATGTGTGTGTGTTTAATTAGTTGAAATTAAATTGTAGGAATCAAAACTCTTCTACCCTAAATACTTTAGTCTGTATCGTCCATGAATACAGAATGTTCTAATATAATCCATAATACCAATATTATACCTAATACAATGAATAATTTAACAATGTCATCTAAAATACAATTCACATTCATTTCCTCTCAAATTTCTTTTATAACTTCAGGAAAATTCATTTTTCCAGTGTTCCCACCCATTTCCAAATTGTCTTTCTGTTTCTTTTTGAGTATCACTTTGGACTCAAAAACTGTTATATTTAATGTATTATATTGTTGTTATTGTTAAATGTAGTTAAGTTGGGTCCAACTCATAGAGTCTCTGAGAAGCACCTAGTAGGTTTGAACCACCAACTTTGTGTTTTGCAGTTCAGTGCTTATGCCATAGTGCCACACCAGGAGTCCTTAATGTGTTATCCTCCATAATTATTTCCGCATTCCTTTCATTGAAGGTGGAACGTGGAACTCATCAAACAATATCATTACTACCGTATGCAAATATAATTTTGCTGTAAATCATTAGAAAACTATTGCAGCAGTACAACACCAGGAAGCTGCTAGAAATTCAAGACGGGTTCAGAAGGGAACATGAAATGAGGGGTATTGTTGACGTCAGATGGATCATGGCAGAAAGCAGAGAATACCAGAAACATGTTTACTTGTGTTTTATTGACTATGCAAAGGTATTCAACTGTGGGGATCATAATCTTGTATAACACTGAGAAGAATGGGAATTCCAGAAGACTTAATTGTGCTCTTGATGAACCTGTACATAGACCAATCAGCTGTCATTCTAACAGAGCAATGGGACATTGAATGGTTTAAGATCAGGAAAGGTGTATGTCAGGTTTGCATCCTTTTACCATATGTATTCAATCTGTATGCTGAGCAAATAGTCTGAAGAGCTGGATTATATGAAGTAGAACATAGTATTGGTATGAGGAACACTCAGCAATAACCTGTGATATGCAGAAGACACAACCTTGCTTGCTGGAAGAAGCAAGAGGAGTTGACATACTTATGAGTAAAGATCAAAGAATACAGTCTTTAGTATGCATTGAACGTCAGTGTAAACAAAATGAAAATTCCCACAAATGAACTAATAAATAGCACCGTGATAAATGGAGGAAATAGTGAAGTTGTCAAAAAAAGATTTTATTTAACTGGAACCAAAAACAAAAATCAAGGAAGAAACAACAAAACCGGGAAAAAAAAAACCCTTAAAAAAATAAAAAACAAAAAAGGCAACTTGAAGAACAAGGGGCCCCCGAACCAAACCAAGGCCTTTTCAATCCCCTCATATATATGTGAAAGCTGGACAATGAGTAAGGAAGACTGGAGAAGAATCGGTACATTTGAATTATGGTGTTGGTGAAGAATATTGAAAATACCCAAGGACTGCCAAAAGAACAAACAAATCTATGTTGGATGAAGTACAACCAGAACGTTCCTTAGAAGTGAAGACAGTGACACTTTGTACCCCACACTTGGAACATGTTAACATGTTATCAGGAGGGACCAGACCCTGGAAAAGAACATCATGCTTGGCAAAATAGAGGATCAGAAAAAAATCAAAGACTTCTCAAAGCCACGGATTGACACAGAGGCTGCCACAATGGGCTCAATCATGACAGGAATTGTAAGGATGGTTCAACACAGGGCAGTGTCTCTGTGAGTCAGAACGGACTCAATAGCACCTAACAACAACAACTCCATAATGTGATTTTGAAGGTTACATCACAACAAAATAGGGCCACTGGAAGCCCCTTTATAGTAGTTTTTGTATTTTTTCTGGTTTCTGCCATAAGATGTTTCGGGCTTACCTTGTACTTTTCGGCCCCAGATCTAGAACTGGGGCACTTCTTCAAAGACTGATATCCATACGATTCAATTCTTCAAGTATTTAAAAGGCATACAATACATTCTACCTTCATCTCATGCCCTCTTCATATACAATTGAATAGTATTCATTTTTTTTTCTGTATCTTCCCAGAGGTTGTTTATATACACAGAAGTAAGATACAGATAACTTAAATGACAGCGAACTACATTTGCTGAGTTTGTTTTTATTTATATCTCTTATCTGTCATTAGATTATGAGAGCTGCTTATGACCCAAGCACCAAAAAGACTAGTCATTTGGGCAACTCCCTAATATTTCAGATGATGAGAAAACAAAAGCTCAGAGAAATGATTTGCCCAAAGTTGAATTAACCATTACTTACATTATGTCCTGAAGTTGGAATGTTTGGCTCTCTCACTCTAGGCTCGTTTCCGCTTCTATTTCAAACACCACTTCTTCTTCCTAGCATATGCATAAGTCACTGTGTTAAAATGTATTTCTCACCACCATAAGGGCAGGGACTACGTCTGTGGTGGTCACTTTTGGCACACAGTAGGTGTTCCGCAACATTGCGCAGACTGAAACTGGAATCTAGGCAGTTTAGCATGCAGTCCACTCCTCTTCCTACAGCACTTCCGTGGCAACCAGAGAAAGAGTTTCAAGATTTAAGTAAAAGCCTCAACGGAAGAATCTGGGAAGGGAAGTTTTTCCATTTCTACAATTAATGAGGGGCGGGGTGCGGGGAACCCTGTCAGAAACGGCTCCCCTCGAGGTGTGACAACCGCAGGAGGGCATCAATCAAGAAAATGCCCCCTTGCCCTGGAGGCGAGTGACGCCGCACAGAGCGGGCCAGCACCACTGCTTCAATAGAAAACATGTGTCAAAACGGGGGAGTCGGGCTACACACAGCTGCACCCCCCCCCAAGGTCCCGAGAGAGGGGAAAAGGAGCAGCCCTCAGAAACTGCTGGAGAAGACAGCACAGATTCCGTCCAGCCATTAGGATTCCTACCCTGACACCTGACGGCGGCGTAGACACCTGCCAGCATCTTTAAAGACAGTGGCTAAGTGTGGGGCACCCACATGAAACGAGATGAAGCGGCTAAGAGACTAGAGCGTCTGAAGTCGAGTCGTCCTCACTCCGCTAGGACGAAGCCCTAGTTACCTTGGGCACTGCTTCCCGCTAGGAGCTTGGTGATGCCCCGTAACACCGTTACTCGAGGGAACTCTTAGGCCTGTGAAAACATGGCCCTCCAGCGGCCTCTAGGCTGTCAGTCCCACTGTCCCTCGCCTGGGCTGGTCTGGGACCCGCTGCTGACACCCGGGGTCCAGGCTTCAATTTTCGTCACAGACTCCTCGCTTGAGCCCGCACTCCAGGCAGCTGCTGTCCTCGTTTTATCCGGGACAGACACATTCTCTCAGGACGGTCGCGGCCAGGGTGCCAAGAGCCACGAGCGGTGGTGGTGGCGGTGGCTGGGCACCTACCTGGTCGCACGGTCCTCAGAGCCCTGCAGCGGGCGCGTCTCGGGGGCGGGGAGCTCGGCCGGTGGGGGCGGGCCAGGGTGGGGGCGGGAGGCGGCTCCAGGGCTCCACGCCATTGGTCGTAAGGCCGGCGGCAGGAAGGGGCCAGAGAGCGCGGCCCCACCCCGTGGCCAGCGGAGCCTATCGCCGGGATCGCGGAGCGTGGATAAATGTAGCACCGCTGTGCCGGCGGGCAGCTCTCCGAGGGACCAGAACGCAGCGGAGCCATGCAGTACCCGCACCCCGGACCCGGGGTGGCGGCGCCCGCCGTGGGGGTGCCGCTGTATGCGCCCACGCCGCTGCTGCAACCCGCGCACCCGACGCCGTTCTACATCGAGGACATCTTGGGCCGTGGGCCCGTCGCACCGGCCCCCACCCCGACCCCTACCCCCACACTGCCGTCCCCCAACTCCTCCTTCACGAGCCTCGTGTCCTCCTACCGGACCCCGGTATACGAGCCCACGCCGATCCACCCTGCCTTCTCGCACCACTCCGCAGCCGCGTTGGCAGCCGCTTACGGACCCAGCGGCTTCGGGGGCCCTCTGTACCCATTCACGCGGACGGTGAACGACTACACGCATGCTCTGCTCCGCCACGACCCTCTGGGTAAGGCGGCTGGGGTCAAGGCGGGCTGAGTCGAAGGTTGCGTCGTCCGGGAGGCTGCGGGGTTGGGGCGTGGGGGAAGCAATAGAAAGTTGCAGCAAAAGCGATTGAAAAGCGACTCTCGGGCGCGCGCGGGGCCGGGAGGCGCGGGCCCCGGCGGCGCGCGGCCAGGGCTGACCGCACAGTGACTCAGATTGGTTTTCTGCACCTTGCAGGCGTCGGGGCGCGCGAGCCCTACGAAACTTCGGGCGCCGCTGGCGGTTGAGGCCAGCCCTGGTCCGTGTGTGCCGTCCGGGGTGGGGCCCCCTTAGCGGGAGGGACAGCTGCCGGGCTAGGATGGTTACGGGGCTGGACCTGGTTCAACAAGCTTGTGCAGTGAAAGAGCCTGACCCTTTCCGTTCATACAGGAAATCTTGAGTTCTCGATAGGAGTAAATCTGGTTTCAGAAGCTGTTAAGTGTTTTCCTGGCTGCATGAAGCAGACCCTTCCCCCGGAGAAGTGCACGCTGCTGATTATTTTATCGACATCCTCAATACAGACAAATTCAGGAAACACTCGACTTCTGATAGCCGGGATCCGTTTTTCTGATATTGTTCATTTCCTCTGTGTGGGATGTGACTTTATGGCAGCTAAAATAACCAGTTGCTTCCTATTTTTTTCCCCGAGGCTGTTTTGCACTAGTTTGAAGCCTGACGCAAGCAAAATCTCTTTTAAAAAAAACAAAAAACAATGCCAGCTTTCAAAGTGTTTAAGCGCAGGCCGGCAGAAGCGCGGCCTAAACGGACACATACTTAGATTAGGAAACTGCAGACCCCTGGCACAAGATACGATGGACAACGCAGGCATAAAGAATTTTGCGGGCTTGTCCTCACGGTACACCGCCAAAAGAAATAAGGCAGCCACGATTCGCGTTCCGGACTGGCCCTTGGCGCCACCAGGGTCTGAAGCGCCCAGGTGGAGAAGGAATTCGATGTTAACTCAGTCATTGACAGCTTCAATAAAACCCTTGAGACAAGGACCATTCATTTCATAATATTATTATGACGCATCCTCTAGCCCAGTCGGTTTTAACTTCTCACCTTTAGGGAAAATTTTGGGGAGATTATATTTTAGCGTGTGGGTTACGAGTTGGGTTGTTAACCACAAGGTCAACAGTTCGAATTCACCAGCTCCTCCCTGAGGGAGACTGAGGAAGCTTCTGCTTCTGTAAAGATATACAGTCTCGGAAATACATACAGGGTCTTTATGAGTAAGAATCAATTCGACGGCAGTGGGTTTTATATTTTAGTTTTTGTTTTTTAGTTTATTGTACTGTATGTTTTGATTGCAACCTCAAGGATTTGATGCTGTGATCCCAGTTTGCCTCTCTTCCCACGTGGGACAGGAGCAGGCCCTTAGGCCAGGCCGGGCCTGGGGGGCAAACGTTTGCATTGAGTGCTCTCTGAATTTCCTTGGGTTACTGGTGGGACTGCGCAGGAGGAAGCAAAGAGTTTTTCACGACAGACCAACAGGAAACACATTGACGGAAATGTTGCCATAGCCCACGGGGTGGCTTTAACTGGCCGCCCCCGCGGGCTGGGTGTGAAATCAGAGGAGGCCGCGGAGTCCTAGAGCCAGGATTGGAGGCTCCATGCACGGCCTAACTCGGGCGCCCAGTGCCCGGCGCGGCGCGTTGTTCCCTAGGTCGCCAACACCTGGGTATTGTAATAAATCCCCGCTCATCTTCAGCATGCAGGCATCCAGGAATTTGAAAACTGTGGTTTACCAAGGGGGAGAACCGGAGGGTTCAGAAAGTTGTGTGTAAATTCGAGAGCGACTGGTCAAAGGGGGTCGTGGTGGACTTTCTGTTACAGATGAAAGGGCCTGTAAGTTTGTAGGTGTGATGGTTTTGTGTGTGAAAGTGTTCAGAGTGGCCTTTGTGCATATGCACCGTGGGTGTGTCTGTGTCTTTGCCTGTCTACCTGTGTGTGACTGTTGGTGGGAGTGCTTGTGGGTGTATGTGACCTGCCTGGTTGGGCGTCCCGCTTTTGTCATCCCCTCTGACGAGGCCAGTCTAGGGTCTAACCAAAGGGCTGCAGGGCCATCGCTAACTGCTGCTCGTCCTGCCCACAGGTAAACCCTTGCTTTGGAGTCCCTTCTTGCAGAGGCCACTGCACAAAAGGAAAGGCGGCCAGGTGAGGTTCTCCAACGATCAGACCATTGAGCTGGAGAAAAAGTTCGAGACCCAGAAATACCTCTCTCCTCCTGAGAGGAAGCGTCTGGCTAAGATGCTGCAGCTCAGCGAGAGGCAGGTGAGCTCACCCAGGGTTTGGGGCTTGGGACCTCATTCCTGGGACGGGGGTAGGGCTGGGGAAGGGAAGGTAGGCTCTTGAGGAGAGGGGTTCCCTGAGCGTCTTGCGCTCTGGCAAGTCATGTCTGCTGGAGCGCTGGTTTCCTTGTAGCCCCCAATTCTCATCTCCCTCCCTCCCCAGTTCCTTCGGGATTTTGGACCGTTGAAAGTTTTCACTTTTTTCTTTCCTGTAGGTCAAAACCTGGTTTCAGAATCGAAGGGCTAAATGGAGGCGATTAAAACAGGTATCACCAGGTTCTGTTTCTATGGAAATAAATATTTTTATCATGTTATCCCAATGCAGGCCTGTTGGGTTGTATGCAAAAGTCATTTGAGGCCTGTTTAACCTCTTCACCTTGATTAAAAAGGCAAATAGTCCTGCTGAAATGCAGGATGACCCACTCAGGTGTTAGTAATGCTAAAAGCACCTAATGCAGTTCCTATATCAATTATGCTGGGGTTTTCACACACTGGCTAGTAAAACTCCTGGCTAATTGTTTTATAAACCCATATGTTGTTTATCTAATTAACGCAGGAAAGATAAAGTAATTGACAGTAAATGACTTAAGCAGTTATCTTAGGGAGAAAATTGTTTCTTTTATTTACACAGCCATAATAAAACCAGGCAGAACTCAAGAGTAAATATAAGGAAATAATCACCTTTAAGTCTTGTTTGCACTGTTTTTGGAAAAATTAAATAGCAAAGTGTTTAAAAATATTATTTTTTTCCATTTAACTCTAGCTCTTAAAATGAGTGTAAAAGATGTAGGAAAGTATTCAAGCCTGTTAGGAAAGCAGTTAAAACTTCCTAAACAGTCTTTCTACCAATGACATGTGATTAAAAAGTAAAGGCTAAATCAGTTTTTAAAGAAACTTTATTCAAAAGAAAGAAAGAGCCTCTATTGATAGAAAGCTTAACATTTGTTTTGATATAATAAGCTGGATATTTTTCCAAAATTATCTAATCATTGTGTAATTGTTCATTTGCCACAGTATATATACAGTTTATGATAAAAGTATTTTGAAACAATAATATACGTGGGAAAATTGAAACAAGTGTGTGGACTAAAATTTTTTATTACGTGTTCAATGAAAACAAGATGGTGCCATAAACACAAAGACCATTTTGAAACAAAATGAAATCCTTGTAATTTCATTATTCTAACATGGTTTAGATGTTTGCAGATTTTTCTCAGTTTCTGATGGTGTGCATCTATTTTTTAAATTTTGCAATCTGGTGAATATAGTCTTCTATAGTTTTAGTAGGTTACGAGTTGGGCTGCTAACTAGCAGGTCAGTATTTGAATTTACCAGCTATTCTTTGGGAGAAAGATGAGGCTTTCTGTTCCCATAAAGATGTACAGCCTCAGAAACCCTATGTAGGATTGCTATGAGTTGGAACCAGCTTGATGGCACACCACCACCACCATAATTTTGCTTAAAAAAACCAAAGCAACACTGTATAATAACATTTCTATGTGTTGAAAGTCCACTGAAAATGGAGTGAAAAGATAATGGAATTTTTCTACAAACTCTCTGAATCCTCCTCATATACTGTTCATGTCCCGTTTAGACAAACATAGGATTAAAAATTCACTAACTCACTTAGTTCTTCATCAAAGGCTTGACTTCACTTTACTAGTTACTTTAAAAATAATGATTCTTACATAATATTGAAATGTCTTCCAGAAATTTCCCCCATATTTTAATTAAATTGTAGTTAATTGTCTCCCTTTTCAGTTAGCAGCATTTTCCCAGTTCTACATTTTTTTCATATTTGTATGTATGTTTATAAATTTTTCTAGAAAAAGGATGTAAAAGGATTTATACAAATAACTTGGGAAATGATTTAAATAATAAGTAATTTCTCCTTAATTCACAGTCAGTATTCCTGTTTTTGTAATATCTAGAAGACCCTGCTAATTGGTTAGGTTGAAATAGCTGATGAAGACAGTACGTATCTGTAGTTACCTGATTTTTTTTCCCCTCACTCTAAACTTTTACACTTCTCTAGATTATAACTGCACTGGAGTCAAGCATTCCATTGGCATAAAACATTTACAGTCACATTTGTGACTGGTTCTTACCTGGCTAGAGTATATCTCTCCCCAGTGTGACAGCTACTGTTCTTTTTTCATCTTTTCCAAAATGAGAACGGAAGTTTAACTGTATTTTCTGAAGAAAACAGCACAGAAAGCACTTGATAAATAAAATTTAAAAGGAGGGTATAGAATGAAGACCTTGTGAAGTTCTCTTCCCACCTCTCCTAATCCCAACCATCTCCATTTTCTCTTCCTTAATTCAGGAGAACCCTCAAAGCAATAAAAAGGAAGACCTGGAAAGTTTGGACAATCCCTGTGAGCAGAGGCAAGAGTTGCCCAGTGAACAGAATAAAGGTGCTTCTTTGGATAGCTCTCAGTGCTCACCCTCCCCTGCTTCCCAGGAAGACCTTGAATCGGAGATTTCAGAGGATTCAGATCAGGAAGTGGACATTGAGGGTGATAAAGGCTATTTTAATGCTGGATGATGACCATTGGTGCTAGCTGGCATATTTGGAAAACTGGATTTGGGAATAACATTTTGCTATAGAAGATCTTCATGGAAGAACTGGAAAACTATAGGAGAAAGGGAAATCAGTTTTCTGGTATTCCAGAAATCTAAAATATTTGGTGCACTGGCTAATTAGCAAACCTACATTGGAACCTTAATTTTGACTTAAGAAATGGATTATGTGATTTTAGATTGTTATGATAAAGTGACTATTCACTGGTTAAATTCAACCCTTTTTTTCCCCTAAGTACATTGTTACTTCTATTTATAAAAATAATTTTAAACCATTTTGTTAAGTTTCTAAGTTATAACTTCAAAGGTTTTAATAGGATCTTCCTGAATGACTTTCCTATAATGAGTATCTATCTGCATCACACTTAATGGAAAAGCAAAGGAACACCCCAAATCCAGAGGTATGCTTTGGAAAGGGATTCACATAAGAGGCAGTCATGGCATATTTTAAAAGGAAAGGATCTTTTATATGAAATTCTTACATTGCTGCCTTAAATCTAAAACTATTTCAGAGCTTTTGTCTGAAAAAGTATCAGAGAAATATAGTTGATAAGAATCTTAAATGCTTGTTTTGCACTATCAATACCTGTTTGACCAAAAGGGGGTCCAAATCCTCTGCCTGTGAGTCATTTCAGACTCTTAGCGATGCTATAGGACAGAATCTCTTGCCCCATAGGGTTTCCAAGGCTGCAAATCTTTACTGAAGCCAACTGCCACATCTTTCTCCCAAGGAGAGGCTGTTGAGTTCATGTCCCTGACCTTTTGGTAAGCCGTCCAGTGCCTTAACCACTGCACCAACAAGGGCTCCTTAATGAGGGGAATAGTACTGTCCAACTCAAGCAGAGAAACTGACTCGCTGGTGACTAAAATTAATCACAGACAAAGTAGCGGTTAATTAAATGTAAGTAGATTGTAGATAATTGTTTTATATCAAACAATGTTTATAATGTATATATATATCATTGTTCAATGTCATGGCCAAAATGGTGTTTTTGTTGTTGTTGTTTTTTTATGAGTAACTTGGTATGAAATAAATCTGCCGGTGGAACGACTGACCCCACGGGATATCTCATTCTTTGATTAAAAAACCAAGACCTAAAGTACCTTCTGGGTGCTTCCTACAGTGCTTTGCACGTATCAGCGCTGGGTGGGGAGTGGGGGGCTGGGCAGCTGGAACTGCTAGTGGTGGTTCTTGCAGGGGCTCTTGCTGCAAGTAGAGAACTGGGGGCGAGTGCTAGGAAGGTGAGTGGATGTGGAGTGGCTCTTTCTGGTGTGTTTGCCTGGGGCTGGGGGCCATCCATCGTGTTCCCAGACCTCAGGCGCACCCAGGTGGTGGTAAGAATCCCTACCGAGGCTGGTAGCCCTGTGGAGTGCGGCGCCGCCCGAGCCCCATCGATTCGCCTCTGCTCTAGGGGCTGGCCCGGGCCGTCGTCCTTGACCAGCTTGAGTCAACATCTGCGTCATCCCTTGGGCGGCGGAGCCTAGGGGGCCGTCCGTACCCAGCAAGCTGCAGGATTAGAGTCCTCAACTCTCTCCCTCCATTTCTGGGGATAGGGGCCAGAACAGTGGTTCTTATACTTCAGAGAGCTTCAGAATCACCTGCAGGGCTTGTTGAAAAAACTCAGATTGTCCGGTCTTACCCTCAGTGTCTGGTTCATCAGGTCTTGGGTGGCATGGGGGTATTTATTGGCATTTCTAACAATCCCAGTTGCTGCTGATGACTTAGAGCTGCTGATTCGAGAACCCCTTCTTTTAGGTGCTCCTTGTGTAGACAAAGCCGGTGGGGTTGGCATTCCCTATCCACTTCCACCCCACCTGCTTCCTTCCAGGTATTCTAGTCAATGGATGTAGGTGGGGGTGAGGACCGAGAAAGAGAGAGTGTAGAAACCAAATCATAACCAAGGTGATGAGCATGGGGGTGTGGGATGAAGGAAGGGGTCTTGTGAAATGGGAGAGGATGAGTGCTGAGGTGAGAGGGCAGTTAGGGGGCTGAGAGAAAGAGTAGCATGAGGTAAATTGAGCGTTCTCACTGTTTATGGTATTACTAATCTATCTAGCTACTTGCCTAATTGAGCCATCAGGCCCAGGACATTCCAGGATGAGGATAAGAGACACTTATGGGGGCTTGTTGTTAAGTGCTGTCCCATTGATTCCAACTCATAGAGACCCTGTATAGAGTTTTTGAGGAGTGACTGGTAGATTAGCACTCCCTACCTATGGAGTCCTGATGTGGCGCTGTGGGCTAATGCGTCAGACTGCAAAGTCCTTTGAACTGCAAGATCGGCGGTTTAAGCTCACCAGCTGCTCCTTGGAAACCCTATGCAGGGCTGCTATGGGTCGGAATTGACTCAACGGCACTTAACAACAACCTATGGTTAGCAGTCCAGTGCTTATCCTTCATTGCCACACCTGTAGGGGGAGAGGCCCAGAAATTGTCCTCTAGTTGTCTCCCCAGACGTGGGCACTTGCAAAAAGGGAAGATGGAGTGAAAATATCATTCGTTGCACTCAGAGGATTATTCATATCCTGCCTCCTTGGACTCCCAGATGACCCCTGGAATTATAGGTGAATTTAGATTTCTGGGAAATTCAAACAGAGAGATACACATGACTGGGAAGTTTGAAGATTTGGGATGGAATATTTCTTGGTCTCAATGTTCTCATGAGATGATCTAGTTGATCTGTTAGATCAACTTAGTTCAAGTTATTTTTCCTCCCTTCTCCCGGTCTCCTCCATGCTGGAGTAGAAGGTAACCATTTAGTGCAGGGGTTGGGAACATCCAGGCTCACGAAATCATTTGGTCTGGCAGTTCCAGCCATCATGTTGTTAAGTGCCGTTGAGTCGGTTCCAACCCATAGCAAGCGGCTGGTGGTTTTGAACTGCTGACAGTGTGGTTCACAGTCCAGTGCTGATCTTACAGCCCCGCACCAGGAGTCCAGCCTTCACATTAGGGATGAGTTAATTAAATGTTTGACCAAACATAGCAGGTTAATTTTTAAATTGATAATTTTGTATGACCCATGGTATACAAAAGAAAACAGGTTCGCCACCCCTGATATAGTGGGAGACTTTTTCTTCCGATCAGCTGCAGGCTCCAACCTTCCTGACCTGCCTGTCAGGTTACATCAGAGTTTCAAAGGTCGTGATCAGTCTCGTCTGAAAATGGGACTGTCTGTATCAGATTTTTGGAGAATGGGAGGCTTGTGGACCTAATGTTGAGTTAAAGCAATCTTGGAATCAGTGTTTGTGTTTTACTCCTAGTGATAACCCCTGGTTAATGTTTATTCTTGAGAATAACTGTATCATGACTATCAAACAGAAATACAGGCTTATGTATTGATTGACACTAGAAAAGTCAGTCAAGGGGTGAAATCTTGTTTTAAGTTAGACAATTCCCTGAAACCAGGTGGTTTTCAGTTTTAAAGCTATCCTTAACTCTTCAAGGTGTCTGTGCTCTGAATCAGAATCTGCCACTCCCCTCCCCCCCAAATCAAGAGCATGCTATTAGGAGGAGATACAGTATTCTCAGAACACAGGTTGGGATACACAATTTTCTACAGTGCCCCACTGGGGATTGCCAATGAATATTTACAAATTCTTCCTGCAATCCAGGCATTTTTCATTTGTTTGTCTTTTGGCTATTTCATGTTGAAGCAGCATGTATGACCTTTACAGCACAACTCCTGTCTTGTTTTTAACTCTTTTTATCAGGAGATTCAACTTGAAAACGGTTATCATTTAGCAGAAAGACAAACAGAAAAGCACATTTTTGTAAGCAAAACGTTAATGATTGGAAGAATTGCCCTAATTTCACCATGACAGCGTGTGATTAATCCCCTGGGTCATGTACTTATACTTTAAGTTATTCAGTTCGTTGGTCTTTGATATTCAGAACCCTTTCTAACTTAATAGGATATTGATTTTGTTGCGTAATGTACTTTGACTCTTTAAACAACATCACTTTTAGCCTGTTGTGTAGTATTTTATTTAGAGAACTGTTGCATAAGGTTTTTTCTTTTTCTTACTTTTTATGGTTTCTCAGGGTGAAAGCTGATAAAACACCTTGTGGGAAAAGAGGAAACCATCTTTGACAGTGAAAGTGCCTATTCTCTTTCAACATTTCTGACAACCCTCTTTTTGTGTGGTTTCATAACTGTGAATAGTCATTTTAGTTAATGGGAGTGGGGCAGGGATTCAAGAAAACATATTTGGATTTGGGAGACTTGCACCTTGCCAGGGTGCAAGAGAACTTCGCAAAATTCTCATTCTAGTATTGGGCCTTGTGGAAGATCATACGGTTAAAAAGCTCATCTTTTTTTAAATCTACTTTTAAATCGAATAGTCCTTTAAATCTGTGATTGGAGTTAATATTTTTGTGACTACTGACAATATGAGAGGGAAACTATGGAGTCTCCCAGGATGCTTCTAAATGGTTAGGAGTGTCATCTTGTGTTAAAAACAGTAAGATGTTTTACTAACATTTCTTTTTCATCCTATTTAGATTTTGTAAAATCCCAGCTAGACTCTTGTACTTGTCTAATCTAAGTTTGTCCCTTGATAGATAACATTTTTGAATATTGATGTTAAATCCAAATGAGAAACAATTTGTACATTCCTCCCATCTACCGAGATATCTGAGATCCAACGTCTACAGAACAACAGCTATTCCCTTAGATGTGGCTGTAGAAAACCGTATCTCAAAGGAAATATACCGTTGTAGATAAGAGCTTCCGTAAAGATCACAGCCGACAAAACCCTCTGGGGCAGTTCTACTTGGTCACATGAAGTAGCTGGGAGTTGCCCTGAGCTGGGACAGCTCCATGCTGGTTGGGGGCCTCTGTTCCTAAAGTCGTGGGAGACTCAGAGGAAGCATTAAGTAAGCGTCACTGGGCGGCCGCTGGTGGCCAGAAAAGCTAGAAAGCACCAGTGATGCCCTTCTTTTGCGGCAGCTCTCTGATTGGGAGT